AGCTGTCTTCATATTTCATGTAGGAGGTTTACAACCACTTTAATGTACTGTGCTAAGTAATATGTACAATGTCAAATGGAGATGACAACTATATGCCCCCAATAGGCCACTGACTGGGACCATCAGTGAAGTAACACAATACACCTTTTAGGAAAAAAAGCAAGCAACAAGGAATATTGAATGCAGTTATTTATTAGAAATCCTTTTAATTAAATATTTTACATAGATTTACAGAAGTTTACAGTAAGAAAAAGGTTGAGTTAAAAAATATTAAAATAGATCTGAATTGCATATGAGCACTTTGAAATTTCACAGCTTTAGAAAACTGTGCTTATACAGAAAATCTTTTAAAGTTAATCAGCAGCATGTTGTTCCAGGTATTTGACTTACCAAGTAGAAACGAAGACGAAGATGGCCATCTTGAAACATGCACTTTTAAAATATGTCAGAAATGGTAACTTTCCAATTTATCTACCGTGACAAGTTATTACAGAGATAGCTGTAAAATTCAGATTTCAATTACATTCAATACATATATTTTCAGTGAAGAACATTGATATTTTGTCATCAGATATCAGTCTAGGAAGCACTGCAACAGAAGATTGAGTTTCCAAGGAGATTTTGGGAGGTTAAAGCTGCACCATGTTACTTTCAGGAGGTAGCACCAAAAAATATAGATTTGAGTTTTAACTTGAAAATTCCTCCTACCTTCCTCAAAATAGCCACAGCCTCAAATATATTTCTCATATTAGGTGTAAGCAAGTTAAGCACACTGTATGGTCAAAAGTCAAAAGTTCTTGGGCACCTGAAAATCACTCCTATCTGAGCTTTTTGGACATCTCATTCCAAATCCAAATACATAAAATCAAGCACGTGGCCATGCGGTCTTACTGACAAACATAAGCATGCAAATATGTTTTAGACAACTGAATTTTTGACGTTATGACATCAGTCTAAGGAAGGCCCATGGTTTGATGAGTTTGGTGTGAAGGAACTTGTGTGGCCTGCACAGAGCACTGTGCAAAGAGATTTTAGCTACTTATGAACTTTCCCTAGACAATCCCAACTACTTCGCTCCAAGTCTTCCACCTCCGCTCCACCAGCAAAAGGGTGCTGGCTCCAAGCGGTCTGTGACCCACTCATAAATATTGCGCTAAAAAAAAAAAAAAGCTGCTAAGTTTCTAAAAGTCCAAAGTAGGTTTACTGAAGTTATCCAATACAGGGGTAATCTGCCTGCTCCTTTTACACATTTACAATCTGACCAAGCTGCTAAACGGAGTAAAATGTGTACCGAATACCCTCAATAAAATGACTCTGGACCTTAAGAGTGGTTTCACTATTCCTTTTAGTGCCATAATTATGATCCTTCTCTGTTGGACATTGAATGGCTACTTCAATGTTTACACAAATCCAATTTTCTTAAATCTGTGATCACACATTTACAAATACAAATTCAGTCCATTTTAGGCCTCTTCTGCAATTAACTTAAATGAAATTCTATTTTTCATAAATAGGAAAGCTGAAACAATTATATATATTATTAATAAAAATAATTCAGGACAGTTAAGAGAATTCCCTTTAATATTATTAAAAATTATATACAAAATGACATTCAAAAATGTTTGGTATTTCACTCGTAAGTCACGTTTCCCTGAGAAAGGAATTATTTCACTAGTACCTCAACAGAAGTTGTTCGTTTTGTCTGCTGATTCATATTGCAGCCTATCAGACTGGCTGAAAGGATGCGGTATGTGTCCACGGATCTGTTTGCTCTTTAACACTAAACATGAATAAAAAATGGAAAGGTAAAAACGAAATTTAGCTGGAGATGGATTCCTTTTATAATAAGGTCGATTCCTAATGCATTTTGCGATCAGTGAGCTTTTAATTCTTTTCTTCCCAGGTAGAGTGCAACTGGTGTTTGTTGCAGAATATAAAAATATTAAAATTGAATGAAAAAAAAATAAAATTTAAGAATAAGCAATACAAAACTGCACAGTGATGTAGCTTCCTAGCTGCCTGGCTGTGACAATGGTCCAGTGGCCTAGACACTTTTACGGACACCTAACATGTACACAAGTAAGAAATATGGACATTTCTCTAACTTTTCTGATCTTTGTACTTGTTCAGCATCAGTGATTTAGGAAGTACTTAAGCCAGAAGGTCACCATAACAGCCAGGCAACAAGCATTTTCAGAAAGAGGTCAAATTTCTCTTATGACAAGATTACCTTAAGACAAATCAAAGGATATGAGTGTTAATTCTTTGTATAAAGCATGGTTCAGCACTCTCCTTTGAACTCCAGTGCTGGTCACATACTGGGTATTTTTTGACTAATTCAAAAGGGAGTGACCAGATCAAAGCAAACTGACAGTTTTTATGAAAACTGTGAAACATTCACAACCGTTGGTGGTAGGTTGCCTTGACTCATCCAATTGTTTCTTCAAGAGGTGGAAATTGACAAGACTAGTCTAGAGTACGGTTAGTACTAGGAACAAAAACAGGTAGAAGATGCCCATGTGTATGTAGCTGTTGGATGCGTTAGGATGGGTATTGGTTACAGCTATAGGATTGCAGCATACGCAGTAGGAAGGTAAATGCAAAGTTCAGTTTTGATGGAAAAAAAAAAGGCCACAAAAAAGCCCACAGAAAAGCCTGAGGTAAACCCACCCTATGAAACAGGAAGGAAATGAAAGATAGATCTATGCTTTTGTTTCTTTGAAGGTTTAAATGGTTGAAGTGCACAGTTACGCATTGCTTTCGAGAAGTCACTTGGTTAGTTGACTAGTTAAGTTGGAGATGGGTGGGCAGGAAGAAAATAATTATGTCCTGACAAGTCCTTGAAGGTTCTTATTAACCCAGGTCATGGTGTAGCTAGCAGTATTAGTTCATCATTCAACTGGACTTGTCCTGTAATGTTGAAGAGGTTTTGCTACTCATCCATATACACTGTATGCAACAGTTTGAGGTCACCAGACAATCACACCTGCTATATCCCCAAAAGGATGTGGACACCCATCCAAATTATTGAGCTTGCTGTCTCCAGTTAAGGGTGCTGTAAAATTGTGTGCTTCCAACTTTGCGGCAGCAGTTTGGGAAATACAATTTTCTCTTCCAGCGTGACTGTTCCCCTGTATACAAAACCAGTTCCAGAAAGACATCGTTTGAAGAGTCTGGTGTGAAGGAACCCAAATGGTCTGCACAGCCCTACCAAACACCTTTGGAACTATTTGGAGCATAATTGAGGGCCTTATATTTTCTCATTCAACATCAGTACCTAACCTCACCAATGTTCTTCTAGCTGAATGGGCACAAATTCCCACAGATGCACTCAAAATTTGTGTTGAACCCTTCCAACAAGAGTGGAAGTCACAAAAGGGGAGCAAATTCCATACTTATGAGCATGGTTCCAAAAAAGTATGCCCAATAAGCTCTTATAGGGGTGATGGTTAGGTGTCCACAAACATATGGCCATATAGTTTAAAACCTGGGGTATGTTCCTGACTTCTCAGAACCAGGGAAACTACTTGGATAAGTAGCCAAAATCTTAAACAGATTACAGAAGCAGATTACAGAACATGTCCAGATGAGTGTTACAAACTATTATTATCTATGTTCTGGCATCTAATGGTGCCTGTTCACTGGTTTACAGATTTTGTAGTGCTAGTTATTTTTAGGAGATAGACAATATACTTGTCTCTTCCATTTTTTTCCTCTGTGTGGTCAGTGACACACCACCTGACACAGGGTTAAATTGTGTTTAAACCCTAATGAACCCTTCACATACTGACTCAATGCTTGAGACATAATACCATCACAGTTTCCTCCCACTGGTCTAAAGGAGATGATACGATTTTAAAATAAAGATGAATTAGAGATTACATACAACACATTGATCAATCTGGGTTTTTAACATTTGCCTAGAGTGGTTTTAGGACAGTAAATTCTTCAATAAGGCACAAATGCCTGTTTTATCAGCATCGGTAGTCCTTTTAGATTGTGAGGTTTAAGGGGTAACTCCACTTTCAAGGGAAAAAGCAGCAAATGCAAAAAAATATATAGCATATACAATTGCGACACATTGTATTTGAATGTTATTAAAAATAACCTTTCCTTTTCAATCTGCATTCCTGCCATTTTCTGTAAAATGCAATTCTATATGGCTACCTGGAGGTACAGAACGTACACAGATGGTGTATGGAACACCCCCAGAAATGTAAATTCCTGCTTGTGTGATTGGCTCACTGATTTTCCCAGAAATCTGATTTTCGGCATCCCCTGCAACAAAAATGCAAATCCCAAAAGGGAAAGCACATCTAAAAAGGGATGCAAACCCTGCCTCTTTCCTCATTAGAACCCTGCAAGTGCAGCATTCACATTCATTTTGCACATGGACACAGACAAACAGCTATTTCTTCAGAATATCAAAAAGGAGGAATCTGCAACAAGGTTTGGTAAAATCCTTGCAATGTACATTGATCACCCGGAGGGGAATGTTTTTTGTCTGAACAAAAGTGGAGTTACTCTTTAAGGCTACCATAAGAGTGCTTGAAATTGCCTGCTGGCACCACCCAGCTCGACAATTTGTTGACTGTTCAGTCACCATTTAAGGAGCCGCGTGGAAAATTGTTGACTGCAAGCACAAGTTTTCATAACTGAAAGTTTTAAGCACGCAGTCTATCCTTTTCTCCCCTAATTTGCACCATGTACTGTAGTTAATTCAATGTTAACCATTTCAAATTAAATGATACAATAAATACTAGCAGAGGCTTTCTGATTTCCAAAATTACAATGACATAAAAATAACCATTTAACGTTGAAAAATTAATTTATAAAAATCTAATGTCTTTCTAATCAATCCTAAGACTTTTCTAAATCTGAGACTGCCAACTTTAAAAAAAGATGAACTGAGCAGACTCAGAAATTAGAGAAGCTGAGCTGTTTAAAAAATAAATTTTTTTTCATTTCACCATCCTCAACTTTAACAAAAAAAAAAGCCTCTACACAGAGATAGATCCATCCCGGAAATTGGTCTTGCCTATCAGTACATTGATGAGTGTAGATTTCCCTTTCTTAGTGGCCTCTTGTGCTTCCTTGATGATGTCTGCTATTCGGTCTTCATCCTGCCGAGTGACCAGGAGACCCTTTCCACCAAACCCTTCTGCCACCACATGGTAATCTGCACAAAAAAAAAAAAACACATTAATGGGCTTTTTTGATTTTGTCCTACAATGAAGAAAAGCAACACTGAAAAAGTGCCAAAACTAGAGGTCTTGAGACTGAAACACTTGCATGTTGCCAATATATAAAGTGAACTTGATGAAAAAAAAAAAAAAACAAAAAACAAATCAAACGCTTCATGAGAGGCCATGACATGACTGTAGTCATGTGACTAGATCTAATTCTAGTCAACTCAATAAAATACTACAAGGACTGAAGGTGTTTCCAAATGCCAAAGAAAATCTAAAAAAAGTTACCCATAGCTAGAAGAAATAATATTCTAAGTTATTAATCAGGGAGTATCCAATAGCCTTTGGGGAATTGCTTTTTCATATATTATAGAGATTGGGCTGCCAATCAGGTCTGCAGGAGTCAGTCACAGAAGTCAAGGAAGCCCAATGGCCAACTGAAAAAGGGCTGACAAGTTCTGCTAATTTATGGGCAGTGCATAGTAGAACATTACTACTACTACTACTATTACTATTATTATTATTATTGTCTAGCACCCTCCTAGTGTAGTGTAGGCTGCTAGGCAAATTCAATTTGGCTCCCTGCTCAGAGCAGCCAGGGTTGATTGTTTAGGACTGCACAGAATTTCACAGGCTGATGCTCCGTTACTTCTCCTTGTCTTCTAGAGAATTCTAGAGGAATAACAGGTCATGGTGCCTGAATATTTATGGACCTCTAACAAATCCCTAGGGAGATGTGCCCAGTAGGTGGTAAGAAAGCCTATAAATAGTCTGAGATCCAAGCAGAAGGGTGCAATGTTTCTGGATCCAGTCCTGCTGAAGGCGTCCCCTGAGCGGGGGGTCTGCCCCTGTTGCAGGATTCTAGAGAAAGTCTTCAGGAAGACACTGAGGTCCCAGCTAGGCTTAGCTGGGGGAGGCCTATTTGCAAATCTGAGGCCAGGGATCACGTCAGGTCTGGAGAAGCTCACTGGAGGGAGCCATAATGAAGCTGGAGGAAAGAGTTCAGCTGTCTTATGGGGGTGTGAGTCTACATTTCCCTCTCTAGGAAGAGCCTAGTGGATATTGGCAGGAAACAACTGATGATCCTGTGAGTAGATGACTCCAGTTTTGAAAAGTAGTGACTGTGTGTAGCTTTTAACTCTGGAAGGGAGTACAGGTCACCATCAGCATAGAGATCCTGTGGGACAATCATTGTTGTGCCACAAAGCCACATGTTGAGGAGTCCTCAGGTCTTTCAGTTTACAGTTTATTGGGGTGTCCCTATCCAAGTTCATAGGTTCCAATAAAAACCCATAAAAAGAAACCGCTAGACTGTTCTTTGGAGCCAGAAAATGCTGTGTGCCTAGCTGTGTGTGCTCTGAGGTGGCAATAGGACAAAATTCACCAGCGGCTCCTTAGGGGGTGCACTACAATTATTATATTGGATTTAATAGCACCAACAGTTTGTGCAGTGCTTTACAAAATGAAAATGTGAACAAATCACAAGACTGTACAGAATTATAAATTCTTTCATAACAAACATTTCTTTCATGTGTGTCATTTCCTGTTTGCCTGGAGATTTACCTAAAGCGCAAGTAAACTCTCATTATAAACTTGTACCTACTATCTTCTAAACTTGTGCCGTTTAGAAGATATTCTCATTGGCTGCAGCCAATGATGTCAGTGGAGCATGTGCAGTACCTCTGCATCCAGGGTATTATTATTATTATACAGTATTTATATAGCGCCAAAGGGTATGCTCAGCGCTGTACAGTAGCAAGGGGGACAGAACATGAGACAAGACAGTAGCAATACACTACACAAGGGGTTCGAGGGCCCTGCTCTTTTGAGCTTACAATCTAGGAGGGAGGGGAAGGTGGCACAGGAGGAGATGGCTGTGGGGGATGGAGTGGTGGGTGGAGTGAAGGAGGTTAGTTGTTAGGTGAGGTCGGGTGTTAGGTGAGGTTGGGGTAGGCTTCCCTGAAGAGGAGGGTTTTCAGGGTGCGCCTGAAGGTGAGGAGGGTAGATGACATTCTGATGGATTGGGGTAGGGAGTTCCAGAGGATGGGGGAAGTCCTAGAGAAGTCCTGCAATCGGGCGTGGGAGGAGGAGACCAGGGAGCTAGAGAGCAGGAGGTCCTGTGAGGAGCGGAGGGCACGGGTAGGGTAGTATCTGGGTATCAGGTCAGTTATGTAGTTCGGGGCGGCATTGTGAGTGGCCTTGTGGGTCAGGGTTAGCAGCTTGAACTTGATGCGTTGGGCAATCGGGAGCCAATGAAGGGATTGGCAGAGGGGGGAGGCAGATGTGGAGCGCTTGGTGAGGTGGATGAGTCTGGCCGCTGAGTTTAGGATCGACTGGAGTGGGGATAGCGTTCGTTTGGGTAGGCCAGTGAGAAGGGAATTGCAATAGTCCAGGCGTGAGATGATGAGGGAGTGTACGAGTTGTTTGGTGGTGTCTGGGGTGAGGAATGTGCGTATCTTGGAGATGTTGCGGAGGTGGAGCCTGCAAGATCTAGATAGCAGTTGGATGTGGGGTAGGAAGGAGAGGTGGGAGTCCAGGGTGACACCCAGGACTTTGGCGTGTGGGGTGGGAGAGATGGTGGCGTTGTTAGTAGTGATGGAGAGGATGGGGGGGGGGCACGGGTGGGGGGAAGACCAGGAGCTCGGTTTTGGGTATACAGAGTGTGCCCTGAATGCAGAAAGCGCCATAACGTGATCCTAACTCCTGTGTGCATGCTCGAGAGTGACGTCATCACGGCTGGAGAGCATGAACCTAGAAGGAAGATCAGGTGAAGATGGAAGTGCCGGGAGCTGTGGACGAGTTTTCCTGGAGGGCTCTGTCATGATCTTTGTATTCAGTGCATGCTAGTAGATTATTGCATAAGCCTGCAGGGGCCCATATAAATAAAATAAAACAGTAGAGTTTACTACGACTGTAAAGAACTTCGACAAAATGAATAGTTTGTAAAGACCACAAAAACAAACACCACTTCTTAGGCACGTAGTTGTTAGAAGAAACGTATTTGAACACAGGAACGATCAAATAGAACCAGGATTGCCATCTGTTGGCAGCTGTAGTAAAGTTTCCAAAGCTACCAACTATACTTTGTAAGGCACTTACATGAAAATATCACCCACACCTGGTAATGTTATCTTGATACTGAGGCTCAGGGAACATAGATTCATCTATAGCCAAAGATGTACAACATATCCCAGCATACATCTACAGGCTGAAAAGTCTACTACAAAAGGTAGACCCAGGAGAAAACTCACCATTGTATGCCAGACCGCAGGCAACATTGCTTCCCAGTAGAGGAACTTGTTCTCTAGAAATTTGACTCCAACAAGCATCATTTCCAACAAGGGCAAGGACAGGGGTCTGAAAGAGGTCAATCATAAAGATTTCATAACTTTTTGCTCAGCTATATTTTACAGTTTTGCTGTTTATCTGCTTTTCCGCCACTTCTTTGACTTCCCAACTGAAGTCAAAGTATATGTAAACCCAATCACCAAAACATGAAATAATCTTCAAGCATTGGTTCACACCCGTGCGACTTCAGGTGCAACATGCGATTTACAAATCGCACCTGAAGTCACATCTAATCTATTTCTATGGCACTGTATTAACAGGTGCGATTTCAAGTAGCACTTCAGTGTGATTTAACATAGACTATAAAAGGTAAATGGCCTTGAAATCGCACCTGTGTCTATATCAGCGCTACTTTACAGTAGCGCTTTAAATGGGACCAAATCGCACAACACTGAAATCACATTCAGTGTGAACTAGGGCTAAAGGGTAAGTTCACCTTTTGCAAATAAATAAATAAATGCACAGGATTTTTTTTATACACTGAAGCCTGCAAAGCATTGCACCCATGATCAGTGGATCGTGGGTGCAATGCCAGGCTCCTGCAGACAGTCAGTACAGTGGTCTGCCCTGTACCTCTTGTATGGTCAGACAATTACTGAAGTGCAGGGTAATGAACTAATGAACTACGAGAGCGCTCACCTGCACCCCTCGGAGCACATCAAGAACTACAAGCTGTCTGCCGCAGTGGAAGACTGGACTTGTAGTTCATCCTTTCATTTACAGATCTCTGTGAAAGAATGATGGTGTCTGTCCCTTAGAACTGTGCTCCTCCAATGTCACCTTGTCACATGAGCTTCTGATGGAGACTACAAATGGCTGTTTCACCACACATTAAAGTCCAACTCCAGGCAAAGAAAAAATGATCTCTTGCAGAGGGGCTGTGCCCGCACTGCGAGGGTAGACCAGTCCCCTGCAGCTTCAGTGCTCCCACACTCTAGCAATCCAAGATCCTGACATCACCAAGAGCAGAGCAGAGTGCATAGCCCTGCTCTGTACATGAGGATGCCAAGCGACAGTCAACTGCCGGATTGTGGGGGAGTGCCGCCTGCTGGGGAGTGGATGATCAGATAAGTTTCTCCTCCCCTCTAGGCAAAATGAACTATTAACATTGCAGTGTGGGCACAGACCCACTGTAAGAAACAATATGAATTGGGTTTTAAACAGGCATCGCTCAGTATTGCTATCATGAGGAAACCCTCCCTGAGAAATGACATGCGGAGCGAGTGCATGGCGATTGGAAATGGCTGCTAGGTGGATGTAGGTGTTAGTTAGCTACCTCTGAGATATAACACAGAATTGAAAAAGGCAAAAATATTTATCTAAAAAAAAAAAAACAAACAAAACCCACAACACACATGGCCTTGTTTACACAATTATTTCCAAACTAAGGGGTATAATTATAATCGGACAGCAAACAACGCTGTCCACTCTCAGTAAAGCAGGCCACACATTATGCAGTTTTCTTTCCTTCCACCACGGGTCAAAGGAAAGAAAATTGCTGGAGTCCCCCATCAACACCTTCAGTGTTGAAGAGGGAACCCCTCCCGCAGATTTCCTTGCAGCAGAAAACAATAATAGCCAGTGGCACTGATTGTTCAGGAAAAACTTGACAGGCTGGTTGTACACAAGTTGATTGACTGATTTGTGTACAACTAGGGTGCTCATAGAAGGATCAAGATTCGGCCAGTCCCTGAACCAGCTGAATTTCAATCCATGTATGGCCGGCTTAAAACACTGCAGCCCACATATTGTGGCTCATTCATAAACATGAGCTGTGCAGGTAGTGGTGTCCCTACTAACTGATTATTGCACCAGAGAGCTTTGTGATTGGGGGAAAACTGATCATGTGACCTTTTTTTGTAATCTTTCTATCATTTTTTCTATTGAGCTTTTCCCTGCTTCCAGACTCCTAAAGCTAGCAGACCACATTGCATATTTGTAAAGTGCATTACTTTATAAATGTGCAGAGTTTGTTTTTTTTTACATTATAGACACACCGCTAATTTTTAAATATCCTCCTAAATGTCTTACAACTAGTGGTGCACTGAAATGAAAGTTCTGGTGCTGAAACCGAAAATTCAGGATGCACTTGGCCGAAAACCGATACCGAAATGGATGGTTTTGTAAAAATGTATATATTTTTGTGAAAAAAAATACACTTTTATGAGTAAATTGTAAATGTAAATTGTAAATATGAAAGATGATGTTACGTGAGTAAATAGATACCCAACATGTCATGCTGTAAAATTGCATACACTCGTGGAATGGCATCAAACTGCTGTACTTAAAAATCTCCATGGGTGACGCTTTAAAACTTTCTACAGGTTAGCAGTGTAAAGTTACAGAGGAGGTTTAGTGCTAAAATTATTGCTCTTGCTCTGACGTTCGTGGTGATACCTCACGTGTGTGTGGTTTATACGTCGTTTATATATGTGGGCGTGGCCTACGTATGCGTTCACCACTACATGCGAGCACAGGGGGACGGGACACTTTAAACTTTTTTTAAAAAAATTTATTTAATTTTATTTATTTATTTGTTTTACACTGTCCCTTTAAAAAAAAAAAATGTTTAATCAGTTTTATTCCTATCATAAGGAAAGCGTGCATCCCCTTTGATAGAAGTATTTAGTGACGGGTCTTTATGGAGAGATATAAGGTCAATAGGACCCTATTGAGAGATATGGGGTCAATAAGACCCTATGAAGAGATATGAGGTCAATAAGACCCTATGAAGAGATATGAGGTCAATAGGACCCTATGAAGAGATATGGGGTCAATAAGACCCCACATCTATGTATGTGCTCCTGACCAGTAACTAATGTTTCTCTCTAATTTATGACAAAAAGTGAGAACAGGGACTTGAATGCAAGCTGCAGCTTTGCTTCATGATAATACTCAAGTCCCTATGACACAGCACAAAGATGTCAGCAGGGGCAGAATTTGATGCAATACAATGCTCATACGTTGGCTGCCATACATTTGTGCATGAACACTAAAATAATTAATTCGCTAAAAACGGTTGATAAATGAAAGATTACCTTATGGCGCGTGTATGTATCAAACTCTACAATGCTGTAACCCAAAGAGCCATCCCCAAATATAATCCACACCTAAAACAGAACAAAGAAAAAATTATCCTGCATTCAATTATCCAAATTAGACATCACAGTCAAAAGGCACATGGGCTTAAAGCCTAAATCCATCCATCCAAAAACTCAGCACGTACAGGTGTACCTCGGTTTATGAATGTAATGCGTTCTGCGGGATGTTTCGTATTGCGAAAAAATTCATAAACCGAAATGCGGTTTTCCATAGGAATACATTGAAAAGCAATTAATCCGTTCCAGAGGTCAGAAAAAAGTAAAAAAAAAAGTCCTTTATCTGTTCAAAACTCTTTATAAAGTGCACTTTAAAGGCATAAATACTGTACAAGGACATGATTAAAAAAAAAATCGTAAATGCATTGAAAACCAATGAATCCATTCCGGAGGTCAGAAAAAAAGTTTTATCTGTTAAAAACTCTTTATAAAGTGCACTTTAAAGGCACGGGGCCGGCGCTATAAACCTCCCAGGTGCAATGCATCCTGGGGAAACTTGCTTCGTATTGTGAAAAAATTTGTAAACCGAGACATTATTTTCAATGGATTTTCATTTGTAAACCAAAAATTATGTTAACCGAGGCGTTCGTAAACCGAGGTAAGTCTATATTAAAATAAAAAAGCAACTTTGCAATACTCACCTTTTTTACTGGTGCTGTCCTTGAAGAAAATCCTTTCCAAGGTCCAGTGCTGTTTGTCGTCCAGAATGAATGACACCCAGCATGATAGGATCCACTTCCCGTGAGCCCAGGTTGTCATGTACATGCCACTGAGGTGGTAACATCATGCTGGCCTGGGCTCACTGTACTCCTGAGACATGCGGTGCTCACAGATCATTAGTCAAGTGCTATGTTGGCTAGGAGTAAGAACTGACTACAACCAGAGGAGAAGAAGATGGACCCACAATGTCAATAGACTGGTCATAGGACTGCAGGAAAAGGGCATTAAAAAATTGATGGGGGGCTTTAACCGGTTACCGCCCGGCCTATGGCCGAATGACGGCAGGTAAAAACCCTTGCCATGCCTGTTATGAAATATGTTGGACTGTCTACTGCAAAAAGGGGTCATTTGGGGGATATCTGTACTGTTCTGACATTCTTGGGCCTCAAGAAATTAGATTGGCTGTCAGTACTTCAGGATTGATCAATATTCAGATATATCCCATAGTTTGTGAACTCTATAACTTTCCTACAGATTAAATAATAAATACTAATTTGGGTTATTTTCAACCAAAGACATGTAGCAGAATACATTTTGGCCTAAATTTATGAAGAAAAATTATTTATCTGCAAACTTTTATAACAGAAACAAAGAAAAACGTGTTTTTTTAGTTTTTCAAACTTTTTGGTCTTATTTTGTTAATTTAGCAAAAAATAAAAACCCCAGCAGTGATTAAATACCACCAAAAGAAAGCTCTAGTTGTGTGAAGAAAATAATAAAATTTTAGATTGGGTACAATGTTGTATGACCGCGCAATTGTCATTCAAAGTGTGAGAGCGCTGAAACCTGAAAATTGGCCTGGGCAGGAAGGGGGTAAAAGTGCCCTGTATGGAAGCCGTTAAAGAAGGGGGATTGAATAATGGAGTTAGGCTTTATTAATTAACAAGGACAACTGAAAATGAAGTATGATTAATCATAGATATCATAAGGACTTCTTTTCGCCATTCCTGAGCTGTGTGCTTATTTCAGGCCAGTGACTTAGAAAGTATTAAAACCAATAACTTAGCATAGCAGCCAGGCAAAGAGAAGTTTTGAAGACTGCAATGGTAGTAGTATGCAGCCATCTCCTCGGTCTATGTAGGTGACTATTTGCTGAAACATACATTAGAATTGTTTATTTACTCGTAAAATCATCCAACAGTTTACCTTGGATGGCATGTTGTGTCATAACTGAGTTGTACATTTGTTTCCATAGGTGGAGGGGTCAATAAAAAGTCTATGCTTATTGACATACGCCTATGCTAGCATAATCTCTAACAACAACCCTAGTAAAAATTAAAAAAAAAAAAAGAAAAAAAAAAAAAAATGTTCATAAATGTCAAAGGTTATAACATATCAATACCTCAGAATCTGGACGACAAAGTTTTGCTCCCAAAGCAAATCCTCCTCCAACACCAAGAGTACCGAAAGCACCTACAATCAACACATTTAAGAGACAATGTAACACAAGAGAATCTTTTTACATTCTTACATATACTGATCTTGATAATGAAATATAAACTGTTCATCTGTCAGTGTTAAATATAGTAAATAAAGGGAAACCTGTGAATACCCAATCAGGTGCGAGTAAAAAAAAAAGAAAAAACATTTTTTTTTTTTTAGCTAGAAATGATTGTTTGATTGAAATGAACACAACACAGCTTCACCTAGTATATATATATGTGTATATATGTGTGTGTGTCTGTATATATCAGGTAAGACATTATGTCCACCCACTGTAATCCTGTAACCGGTAGAGGCATAGACACCACTAGACCTCTGAAGGTATGCTGTGTTATCTGCCACCAAGCTGTCAATAGCAGATTCTTAGTCCTATAGGTTGCAAAGTTGGACCTCCATGAATTGGACTTGTTTTTCCAGCACATCCCACAAATTCAGGATGGGACTGAGATCTGGAGAATTTGGAGATCAAGCCAACACCTCAAACTGGTTGCTGTGTTTCATTGACCATTCATGAATCCATCAGACCGGAACACATTCTTTCATGGCTCTGTGGTCCAGTTCTGATGCTCACACACCCATCGTAGGCACTTTTGGCTGTGGATACAGGTCGGCATGGACACCCTGGCCGGTCTGCAGCTACACAGACCCATACACAACAAACTGCAATTCACTGTGTGATCTGACATCTTTCTAAAGGAACCAGCATTAACATTTTCAGCAGTTGGAGCTACAGTAACTCTTCTATTGGAGCCTTGGCTACCCATGACTCTGTAGCTGGTTCACCAGTTTTTCTTCCTTGGACCACGTCTGGTAGGTCCTGACCACTGCATGCCGGGAACATCCCACAACAGCTGCAGTTTTAGGGATGTTGTGATCCAGTCATCTAGCCATTACAATTTGGCCCTCGAATCCTTACACTAACATGTTCACTTGCCGCCTAACATATCCCATCGACTTTCAGGTGCCATTGTAAGGAGATATTTAAGGTTATTCAGTTTCCAGGTCAGTGGTCATAATGTTATCATATGTTAATGTTATGGCTGATTGCTGATTGGTGTGGGTGGGTGGATGTATTATGTACACACGCACACACTTTGTCTATTGACTTATTAGAACTTCAAACCTTGCTAACCTATAAAACAAGGCTCCCTAAATAGACTATTTCTAAAAGCAACATATTCTAAAGGGTTTTTGTCACAAAAATTTAATAAGTTGCACTGAATGCTACTGGAGGGGGTGATTAAATTGAATACTGTACGATCGTTAAAATATGGTATATTCAGCAATAAAGTCATTGCCACTCAAACGCTTGTGGCCTAGTGTACTCTTCATCATTTTGTTGGCACTTGAGGAAGGGCAAACTAGGCCAGAAATTTGTGTTTTTACGGCTGTAATGCTTGAATGCATGCATGGGACTTCAGATGTGAGAAAACAAAAAGTAAATTCACTACAAAAAAAATTAGACAAACATCAGCTCACCTACGTAGTAAAATATAAGGTCGACTACAGTGTGTTGGAAAAGACCAAATCCACAATTTTCAATAGGACAGGTGGAACAACGAGACAAACTGATGACCTGCTATGCCAATTGACACCTAAAGGCAGTATTGTATTAGGCCTAATTCACAAAGCTAAAACAGGATAAACATTGTCAGTCAGGTGACTGTAATTTTCAAATCTCATTGGATTAAAAAATTTTTTTTTTTTTTAAATAAGATATATTATCCTGGCATTTTAGCTTTGTGAATAGGGTTTAAGGTCTGAAAAAGCAACAGGTTTACAGAAGGTGGCTCTTAAAAGGCTCATTTACACTTGCTTTGACTATAACACACATTAACGTGCCTATCACTGCAGCATGCTTTTTTTGATACTTCGGTAATACTTTTGTGATGCTTTTTTGAAGATTTATTGAACCTTGGACAAATGCCCTGCCTGTGTGTGTGGATTTTCAATTTGTTTCAAAAGGGGCCCAGTAGAATCCCAGCTCAGTAGTACCCCACTAAGCAGATTCCCAGCTCACTAGTACCCCTGTTCAGCAAATCCTTAGCTGATTGGTACCCTCGTTCAGCAGATCCCCAGCTTATTAGTACCCTTGTTCAGCAGATCCCCAGCTTATTAGAACCCTCATCCAGCAGATCCCCAGCTTATTAGTACCCTCGTTCAGCAGATCCCCAGCTTATTGGTACACTCATTCAGCAGATCCCCAGCTCATTAGTACCCTCGTTCAGCAGATCCCAGCTCATTAGTACCCTCGTTCAGCAGATCCCCAGCTCATTAGTACCCTCATTCAGCAGATTCCTAGCTTATTGGTACATTCATTCAGTAGATCCCCAGCTTATTAGTACCCTTGTTCAGCAGATCCCCAGCTTAATATTACCCTCGTTCAGCAGATCCCCAGCTTTATTAGTACCCTTGTTCAGCGGATTCCCAGCTTATTAGTACCCTCGTTCAGCAGATCCCCAGCTTATTAGTACTCATTCAGCAGATCCCCAGCTTATTAGTACCACTTGTCAGCAGATCCCCAGCTTATTAGTACCCTTGTTCAGCAGATCCCCAGCTTATTAGTACCCTTGTTCAGCAGATCCCCAGCTTATTAGTACCCTTGTCCAGCAGATCCCCAGCTTATTAGTACACACGTTCAGCAGATCCCCAGCTTATTAGTACCCTTGTTTAGCAGATCCCCAGCTTATTAGTACCCTTGTTCAGCAGATCCCCAGCTTATTAGTACCCTTGTTCAGCAGATCCCCAGCTTATTAGTACCCTTGTCCAGCAGATCCCCAGCTTATTAGTACCCTCATTCAGCAGATCCCCTGCTCAGTAGTACCCCCAGCTTTGCTGATCCTCCGTTGCTCAGTCCTCTCTCTCCAGTCCATGCTCACTTCCCGCTATAGCATTCCCATGTTGCACAACATGTGTGCCATCTGCTAGTCACTCTGCTCCAGTCCAGACCCCCTCACTGTCCTTCTGCTCCATGCTGCACACCAGATGTGACGTCTGCACCAGACACTTCCAGAATATATAAACATGAACCAGTAGCGACTGCTGATGATGTCTTTCTCGGTGGCTTGTTGGTTTCCCAGTGCATCCTGGGATATCTTACACCTGCAACACTTCGAAAACAAAGCAAAGCAAAAGCTGAATAAAATCCTCTCAAAAGCTGCAGGTGCTGTAAGTGAACTTTGTCATAGCCTTCTATGGAGGCTTTGGAAATGTTTTGAAGCACCAGGAAAGCGACATGGGGTATAATTTTTGAAGTGAAGCAAAGCAAACACAATGTGTAAACAGGACTGTAAGCTTCCCATTTGATTCAGTGACAGGAGCTTTGATTGGCATTCAGAGTGCTTTAAAAACACGTCTCCAATGCCACATTTTGAAGCAAGTGTAAACGAGTCCTAAAAGTCCCATCTTTTGTGGAGCCAATAGGATTGGATATGTTCTTCTATATAGATTGTGTGACATAAGGCTCAGTTCATCAGCTTTACACAAGGATAAGGATCTTTATTTTCAGCCATGTGACTTATTTTCACATCTCATTGAGCTCAGCTAGAAATTACTGTCACTTTTATAAAACCAACGATCTCATCATGGTGTTTTAGATTTATGAACTGAGCCTAAATCACGTTAGTGCCACAAGGAAGACTGTATTTTAATGCTGACGATAACCAACCATTACAATAATTTGCTTATTCTTTCATATCTGCATTTTAAACGTGAATGGCAGAACCTGCTTCTAAAGTACAAAAAAGCAGGTCGTCTTGTAGCCATCTTTAATTGTTGGGTACACAGTTACTTCAGAAACAAGAAGCAGTGACCTGGATCCAGCCAGCGCAAAGGTCCTCTCGGTCGAAGGATGTAGGCCGCGCTCCCTACAAAATCTCCTCCATCTGCGACAATGATGCTGTCCTCTGCCATCGCTTCCTCTAACGTATGTAGAACTTTCAATGGATTCAGGTGTCTCTCTGTCTTCTCTTCAGATTTTTCCCTGGAGAGAAAAGGCAATTGTTTATGTTGGAAATATTGTAACCGTCTGATTCATAAATCTTACCAAAATGTAGATGGTTAAACGACCGACTTAATCTCTTGTTCTATCCTATGTACACTATATGGCCAAAACTTTTATCTATTCTGGATCAATGACTCACAAAGCCAGAGACAGCTAGGCAACTAGTATGTTCATACCAGGGAAATATGTACACTAGATGGCCAAAAGTCTGTGGCCACCTGACCATCATGCAGATTGTATGTCCAAAAGTATATGGACACTTCTTCAAAATTATTAATTTTAGGGGTTTCCTGAGATGGCCACTACTAATACTGCAGCATACAAAGACATTTTACATTGCTTCCAATCTCGTGGTAACAGTTTGGGGAAGGCCATTTTCTGTTCTAGTATGAATGTCCCCTTATGTACAAAGCCAGTTTCATAAAGACATGGTTTTATGAGTTTGGTGCTGAGGAACAAGAGTGTCTGCACTGAGCCCTGATATCAACCCTACTGAACATGGATGAATCAAAACACTGATGTTGAGTGAGGTGCTTTCATTCAACACATTGGTACCTGACCTCACAAATGCTCTTTTACCAGAAAATAAACAAATTCCTGCATACACACTCCAGAGCCTTCCCAGAAGAGTGGAAACTCTTATATTTGTCAATAAGGTCCATCTCTATATTAATATCCACACTTTTGGAATAAGATGTTCAGCAAGCTGACATAGGCGTAATGGTCAGGTGTCCACAAACTTTTGGCTATATAGTGTAAATTAGGAAATGTCACAGCCTGCTCATTGAAAAATAGGATGTATAGAAAGGTAGCAGAACACTAAAACAGCTGGTTCACCAAGATATTCTGAGCAATGGAAACTTAATAAAAAAGGGGCAAATGTCAAATATGGATACATTACTGATTGGCTTTCTCCTTGTTTTCATCGCCTGACTTCAGGCCCTCTGGCCAGTCCTTGGGACATGTGTATCCTTTCAGTCCTTCGGAGAGTTGGACAATGAAAGAACCTGCATCTCCTGGAAATAAAAAAAGACCACGATGTAGTCGCTATATTTGAGGGTCAGGATTACAACTGAGGAAATATACTAAATTGGTAACCAAGGGAAAGCATGACAGGCTATGGGTGGACTGATGTGCTACATCAATGTGAGGACAAAATATTGAAGGTTTCAGCAGGTAGGATCTGTGAATGAACAAACTACAAGTCCCATAGGCCACCGCAGCAGACAGACCTGTAGTTTCAAAGGACTGCAAGCAAGCTGATCAGCATTCTCATACTTCATTCACAAGTCCTCCAGCTTTCTAACAGAAAGCCCATTTAGAGGTATGGGCGGACGGTTAAGAGGACTGGTCTGCAGATGCCTGCCATTACACCCCTAGTCTACTGATGGTGGTGCAATGCTTTGCAGTTTCTAATGGGGAAAAATAATAAATGCACATTTTTGTCTGAATAAAAATATGCATTTATTATTTTTCCTTTAAAGGTGAAATTAGCCTTTAATTTTCAGTCTTGTTAATCTTTGCTTTTAATAATCATAATCTGACTATAGGTCAGCCTTATAGCTAAACTCCAGGCAAACAGCTAAATACACAGATGAAATACATATATGGGAGCTGTTTTACCTGCCAAAAGATTTGTATTTCCGTCCATGCAGTCCTGGGGATTTAAAAAAACCTGCCCACAACAGAGCCCTTTCTAGTAGGGCAGGAGACCTAATATTTCTCTGCTGCAGTTAAAGAATGTTACCCCAACATTTCATATTCCTGATATGTGCCTGCTGTACCATGTACTTGTATGAAAAAGTATCCTGTTCTCTTTGTATTGTTTCCTTTGTGCAAAATCCCTGGTGTCCCTGCCAGTCCCTCTGCTTTCCTATTAAAAACTGACCACACTAGGCATGAGAGCATAGCATAGTCAGTTCTCTAGCCTGCTCTCCTCCAATGATCAGAATTGTCCTGACACCCCCACCCATCCACACAGCCATTTGGCAGCTGTGAGAACTCAGCAATCAGCAGACATTTTAAAAATACAAAATCCCATACTTCTTTTTTCAAAGACTCAATAGTGTACTGAAGAGTAACGGACCTAAAGTAAATCCATTCTGTACGTTAGTGACATTTATCAGGATGCCACGTTCTTCAAGCTCTGTGACAATCAACAGCTTGAGAGATAAATACAAATTACCCTGAATAGCAACAGCTGGCTTCCAAAACATATCCGAGTTCTTCAAAAGCTGAGACCTGTCCCTGTTCACTGCGATAGTTTTACTGCGTCTGTTCAGGACCCGGCCATAAGAAAGTCGAAAATCACACACAGTGCCTAGAAGAACAAAGACATTAAAGGAAGGTTATTTTATAAAAAAAGATTTTGGGAATGAGATAAAAGAACTTGCAAACAGTATTCTTCCCTACCTAGTGTAGATAATGATACATTCGACAGGTACTCTTGATGTGAGCCTATTGTTCTATTGTATGTCAGCTCCTGATCTAGACAAGAGTTTCAAATAAAGGATCTGGCAGCATGTTTCTATGAGCATACCAGACAGGAAGCCAGGGGGTGGATCTACCAAGGGCAAGTAGACTTTGCACTTTGCAAGTGCAGATGCACTCTGCAAGGGAATTTGCTCCAGAGCTTAGTAAATGAGGGGAAGCTCTGCTGACTTCCATCATCCACTACAAAAACTGCAGTTTTTTTTATTTTTCTTGCATGTGATTAGTTATTCTTTACAAAGTGAAGCTTCACTTCATTTACTAAGCTGTGGAGCTAATGCCCTTGCAGAGTGCTCAGTCTATTTACCTTTTGTAACTCAACCCCCAGGTATGTGTGTTGTAAATATATTGTACTATGCTACACCAACGTCACAGTACTTCAAGTGCCGTTCTCATAATCTACTTAACTACTTTACGTCCGCTTGCCCACAATGTACTGCGGACAGGCGGCCACTGTAGGCAAAGTCTACTGCCAGGTTTTGGGCGCACACGTGCACCGCCTCCTCCTCACACACCCCCGCCGGCACCCACTGTGACTGTATACAGCGGGTGCCTGTTCGCAAGTCCCGGCCAATAATTCACAGCTGGAACCTGCTGATTGGCTGTGTACAATCACAGCGCAGATCTCTGTGTTGGTAAACACAGATCTCTGCACAGAGGGAGCGATTTGTCTTTTTCTCAGGGAGGAGAAACAGAGACTGTTACCACACTTTACACACAGTAAGGCACACATTGAACCCCTTGATCCCCCTAGATGGTAACCCCTTCCCAGCCAGTGTCATTAGTACAGTGACAATGTATAAAATTATAGTATGTCACTGGTGATGTCAGTGGCAGTTAGTGTCAGATTGCCCACTGCACTCCCACAGTCCCATTAGAAGTTGCTGATCACAGCCATTAGTAAAAAAAAAAAATTCCAGTATATATACACCATAGTTTGTAGACACTATAACATTCATGCAAACCAAACAATATACTGTACACTTATTGGGAATTTGTTTTTTATCAAAAGATATGTAGCAGAATACATTTTGGCCAAAATTTATGAAGAGATTTGATTTTTTTTTATTGGTTATGTTTTATAGCAGAAATTAACCAGATACTGAGTTTTTTCCCCCAAAGTTTAGTTTTTTTTGTTTAAATCGCAAAAAATAAAAAAAAAACAGTGTGAAAAAGTTATATAAATTGGGTTGGGTATAGAGTTGCATGACCGCACAATTACCAGTTAATGTAGCACAGTGCAGTATAGCAAAAAATGGCCTGTCCATGAAGGAGGTAAAATCTTCTAGACCTGAAATTGTTAAAGGGTATGTCACATCAAGATAAAGAAAAAATCCAATACATCTCTTCAACACATGCGCATTTCCTCATTTTATCCCCTTAATCCTTTCACTGCCAAAACCTTTTTTTGCACAAGTTTAAAAAACAATTTTAGGCGTGAAGATTATGCAAAAGCCCAAACCAATATATCGTTTCTAATAGAAGACACCCTAAAGAATAAAGTAGTGGTGGTTCCAATTTTTTTGGCACTCAATATTAGCGCATTGGTTTATGAAATGCAAGAAAAAAAACAAACTAAAGTTAATTTTTGGTCACAAAAACACGATAATTACCCAATTTTACGGCAAAATCTATAGGAGGAGGTTGCACCAAGTAAACAGATAACAAACATATCAAGCCTTAAAATTGCATGCACCCGTGAACCGGTGACAAACCTCGGTACACAATATTTTTCATTGGCAACACTTTAAAAGCCATTACAGGTCATCAGCTCAGTGGTACCCATCAATAGGTCTATCAATCTTACCTGCCAGTATAACAACATCCGCTTCCTTAAGTGCTTCCCTGCGATTCTGTCGAATATGGATAGGGCTATTCCTTCCCAGCATGCCTCTGGCCATTCCTCCCAGGAAACATGGAATACCCAGAGATTCCAGAGCCTGTCTGAAAGAACAAGACTAACTTCATGATGGGATCCAATTAGTGTAGTTGGCCACCCAAGACATCTTTTTCCCCTACCTGAGCTTGTCCACGGGTGTGGGAGGAAGGGTCACCTGACTGCCCAGGATGAACACAGGCTTCTTAGCTCGACTCACCAACTCCACACATTGCTGGATCTGTATATAGAAAGAAAGTGCATAGAAATAGCTGGTTTTGGAACTCTGGGTAGAGTTATACTTTACAGGAAACCTGTACCAAATCAAATGAAGGAACTTGGGACAGCAGCGGAGGGGTGCAATATCTGACCTAACTGCCAAGTACCCACTACACAGATTTCAGCTGTACCAAGTACGATGTGCACTGGGTTTCCTGGGGGATCTACCGTATATTCCGGCGTATAAGACGACCCCCTACTTTTCCTGTTAAAATGTATGGGCTATACTCGCCGTATAAGACTACCCCTCTTCCAATGCACACCAGTGGAAGAATCGTGCCCCATCATTGGTGTCAGTGGGAGGAATAGTGCCCCATCATTGGTATCAGTGGAAGGAATAGTGCCCCATCATTGGTATTAGTGGGAGGAACAGTGCCCCATCATTGGTGTCAGAGCGACGAATCGTGCCCCATCATTGGTGTCAGTGGGAGGAATAGCACCCCATCATTGGTGTCAGTGGGAGGAATAGCGCCCCATCATTGGTGTCAGTGGGAGGAATCGTGTCCCCTCATTGGTGTCAGTGGGAGGAATAGTGTCCCAACATTGGTGTCAGTGGGAGGAATAGTGTCCCATCATTGGTGTCAGTGGGAGTAATAGTATCCCATCATTGGTGTCAGTGGGGGGTGGAATAGTACCCCATCATTGGTGTCAGTGGGGGGGGGGGGATATTGCCCCATCGTTGTTGTCAGTGGGGGGGGGGAGGAAAAGTGCCCCATCATTGGTGTCAGTGGGAGGAATAATGCCCCATCATTGGTATCAGTGACACCAATGATGGGGCACTATTCCTCCCACTGACACCAATGACACTTCCTGACCCTTGTTGCAGTATGGTGCTGCTGCAGCCAGCATATGTGGTTGCAGCAGCACCTCTGTACGGCACACTTACCGGCCGCTCCTTCACTCGATTTTTGTGGGGCCGCTTGGCTCCGCCTCCTCGCCGGTGATTGGCTGCCTGTGTGCCTTTCCTGAGCTACAGTTCTGGCGGCCAATCACCGGTGAGGAGGCGGAGCCGAGCAGCCGCGCGAACATCCAGTGGCCGAACTGAATGAAGGAGCAGCCTCGCTTCCTGGTCCGGATCGTCATGGGACCAGAGCCAGGTAGGAAACAGCAGCCCCTGCCCACTCCTGTATTCAGTGTCCCTTCCGTTTGGAAGGGGGGGGGGGGCGGTGGCGGCACCGCACCCCCCTAAAAAGTGTCAGCATGCCGTATACCGCCGTATAAGCCGACCCCCGACTTTTTAGAAGATTTTCAAGGGGTAAAAAGTCGTCTTATACGCCGGAAAATACGGTAACAAGACTTGAACCTCTGGTGAGACTTCTGTTAGTCAATGACTCAAAGTACCGAAGCCACTAACTCAGCTTGATTACCATTAAACTAGCATTTTTCAGAAGGAAAGCTCAGCAATGGCGACTTTCATATCTCTCTGATAAAGATTTATAGGATAAAAATTGTAATATCAGGAGACCTGATCCGGGGGCATGGGGGATGGAGACAGGAAGAGGTGAGGTGTCCCGCGGTTCCCAGGCTCCCGCAAATAAATTATTCAGGTGATTCTGCAAGTACCTAAAATGAAGGACAATAAGAGAATTATAGTAGCATCTGTAGGCTTATAAATCACAGCTATCCACAGAGAAGTGAAGCTGAGCAAAGTACAGTAATTTACATCAACCAATCAGACCTATTGTTACTAACTGATGAAATGCGATTGGCTGCCTAGAGTTACTACACTCCTTGTTTTAATCTTTGTCTTAGGCAAGCCAAAGATGATGTGATTTTCTTAAAAAATTGATTGATTCCCCCATCAACACTGACTGTATCAAACTCTCGTGGAGTTATCGTGTTCTCCGAACAGAGAGGCATGCTAACCCATGCCTGCCGGGAGAACACAATGAATATTGCTAGCGGCTATAGCCATTGGCAAAAATCGAATCCTAAAAATCAAACATGCTGGTAGTAGCCAAGTCGATCGATGAATTGACTTGGGTACAATCAGCCTGCCGATAGATGGATCGGGTTTTGGGTGTGGTCCCTGCTGAACTGGCCAAGGTTCAAACCATCCATGGCTGGCTTTTTGGTTGAACTGGATGGACTTTTTTCAGCCAGACTAACTATGTAACTATATAACCTCAGTTGCCCTGCACACACCCACAAATACAAATGGGAGCCCAAAGGTCGCATGTGTATTGTACGTAAACTGTGATTGCTGCCACTGTCGGAGTATGAGCAATAATTCTAGCGCCAGATCTCACAGTTAAACCTATATGCATAGTAGTAAAGGCTTTTAAAGTGTCTCCTACTTAGGGGACAAGAAAAAAATCAGGTAAAGAAATTTAGGCAGTGGACTGGTAAAGCGAAGACACAGTACACACCCCTCCTCACCCACACTCCAAGCCACTGTCCTTTAAACATATGAACAATACACTTACCAGTTGATGATTTTCCCAACAAATCCTTTAGGGGCACCTTTAGGTGCTAATTCTTTCTGGATCAAATGGTACGGATACAAAATGTCAATTGGAAATTCCACAAACACAGGGCCTACAAAAGAAGAATAGGAAGAAATAGCAAAGGTAGAGATTATTAAAGCTCATCTAAACCCAAGGACAAAACATAATTAAATGCAGTTTAGGAGGGTGTCTATGGGAAGGTTTGACCATTCTTCCAGAAGTGCATTTGTGAGGTCAGGCACTGATGTCGGATGAGAAGGCCTGGCGCACAGTCTCCGCTCTAATTCATCCCAAAGGGTGTTCTATCAGGTTGAGGTCAGGACTCTGTGCAGGCCAGTCAAGTTCCTCCACCCCAAACTCGCTCTTTATGGACCTTGCTTTGTGCACTGGTGTGCAGTCATGTTGGAACAGGAAGGGGCCCTGAAACCTGAGAAAACTACACTCCACCTCTAAGCCTGTTTTTGATTCTCAAAGCCATATCAGCTTGAGAATCCACGCTATCTGGTGAGTATGGGGGGAAATGATTTACCACTGATGTGAGCACGCTGGAAAATTGATCAAGTTGTTTTCATATTTTTATTTTGTCACATTTTTTTGGGACACTGGACTTTAATTTGGGACTTTGTTTTTGGACTTATAGATTATAAATTTAAATTTTATTTTTTATTATTTGCGCTGTGTCACTTTATGAGATAGCTGCATCCGTCCTGAGTCTGTCATTGTTTTGTATGGGCTGAGCAGCCACAGCTCTTCTCACACACCTGTCATTCCAGCTGCAGAAAATCCACAGATTCTTGTTGCAGGAATTCAGTGTTTGCTGATCGCAATAAGGATTAACGGGGGGGAGCACGGCAGCCAGAAATCTGGCATTTTCAGAAGGAGCATTCGGCAATGGAAGCCTCTATTTTTCTCAGACAAAGCAAATAAAAAAATAACGGAGGCGGGTGCCAAGATATCATCAAGGTAACATCACCAGCATTCCTCACCTGGTGTTCCAGACTGAGCCTCGGCCAGCGCTCTGCGCAGTATAGGCACTGTGTCTCGTATGGTGCGGACAGAAACACAGAATTTACATATAGGTTTGAACAGTGACATCTGATCTATATCCTGCAGAGCTCCTCTTCCCTAGTAGACAAAGAACAAAACACAACATGACAAAGTGTATTAAATAATGATACATTATATAAATAATATGTATTAAATCTGGGGGTGCTGGGTCAAATCTTCCATTTCCTTTATACTGACCCCAGTGATGAGAAGCCCCCCCCCCCCCCCCCCCCCCCCCCCTCGTTGGAGATCTTGGCATTATTCACCATAACCAGGAAGTTTCACTTCTCTTTTCATTCAATCTGTAACCACCCTGACATTTTCAACAACTGCGAACAAAATGTCTTTCTTTGCAACTTTAGTAAAATTATCAATCTACAGTATATAGAGGATTTCCCAAAAATTCACATTTCTCCTCCTTTTATAAACTGAAATACTGCTACTCCTAAAATTTTGCACAGAGCTTGAGGTCCAAGTACAGACAGCTTCTTATATGGAATATGACATCTCCAGCAATGTTTTTTGGTTTACTGAACTGAGAAGGTCAATTTTGGTGAGAAATTTCACACATCTTGAGAGACAGACATAGCATGACGTTTTTTTTACTGCAACACCAGGGCTAATTATGAGACTATGTTAAAGACAGCTAACAGGTTTTAATGGCTGTGCAAGACCCTATCAGTGTAATGGCTGTGCAAGACCCTATCAGTGTAATGGCTGTGCAAGACGCTATCAGTGTAATGGCTGTGCAAGACCCTATCAGTGTAATGGCTGTGCAAGACCCTATCAGTGTAATGGCTGTGCAAGACCCTATCAGTGTAATGGCTGTGCAAGACCCTATCAGTGTAATGGCTGTGCAAGACCCTATCAGTGTAATGGCTGTGCAAGACGCTATCAGTGTAATGGCTGTGCAAGACCCTATCAGTGTAATGGCTGTGCAAGACCCTATCAGTGTAATGGCTGTGCAAGACCCTATCAGTTTAATGGCTGTGCAAGACCCTATCAGTGTAATGGCTGTGCAAGACCCTATCAGTGTAATGGCTGTGCAAGACCCTATCAGTGTAATGGCTGTGCAAGACCCTATCAGTGTAATGGCTGTGCAAGACCCTATCAGTGAGAACCCTCTTCACCAGTTTTGCTAGACAAACAAAATTTACCTTAACAAGCCCACGGTGTGGTACGCAAAAACTAAACACCAAAAGTGAAAAAAGGTACATTTAAGTACACACAAAAAAGTACACTTTGCGATGTGTCTCTGGTCCTCTCCCAAAGAAGAAGGACCCTTCCCTGACCTCCTGGGGCAGAGGATGCTTGGCAAGCACACTCAGGTCCACCTAAAGGCACTGCAAATCCCACTTCTTATGATCAGCCAACGCTGACCAATGAATACTAGGAGGGGGGCTCCCCGAAGAGAGAGTTACAGAGGAGTTATAGCGGTGACGTCATCATGCCTGCCGGGGTGCTCGATGTGGTTGTTCTGATGCTGTTTTGATTATGTGTAAATGTGGGTAGATGCCTAATTCTATTAAATACATTTTTACTGCTAACACAATGAGCATTCTTCCTTCCTCTTTTATATGCTACTTTCTCTATGGTTGAGCATTGGATTGCCCTGACCTTTTTGCTGTGGCGTGCGGCACTAAGTGGCAGGCTGTGGGAGTTGAGACATACACCCATTCATCTATCCATCTGGGTGGTAGGCTGTGGAATTCTATCCATTCATTCGACTGGCACACTGCAGAGTGGAAGGCTGATTCCCATCCACCCACTGAGTCAAGTGCAAGCACACTTCCATTCAGTTTTCCATCTAGTTGACAGGTGGTATGATTGGAGGCTGATGACCATTGATCTTTTGGATCTGTCTCTTGCAAGCGATGTTAGACCTCTTGTATCTTGGGGTCTAATATTCTGAGAATCAGGTTTTTTTTGTCACATTTGGGTGCACAGTGGTGATTATGAAGAGGAACCCAACTATTTGAGTTTGGGTTGGTCAGATAGTTATGCGCAGTGCTGCTCACAGTCGCCTCTGGAAAGAAACAGTATGGGTGAGTAAATCTGAAGGTCTTTTTTAAATTAGGCTACATGCATATAGGTAGTTTGGCCCCTCAGTGTTTTGGGAACCCAGAAGGCATAGGTGCAGCATCCAGCCCCACTTCCAGAAGGCTGTCCATATCTATGATGGGTAGAAATAGATGGTGGCTGTAAATGCCAGTACTGCTTGGTGCAGCATCCAGCCACTGCATATTTTATAAATATATGACGGGATCCTGTCAGTGGGGCTGGGGGCTGGACACGGCTCCTGTGCCTCCCAGGTGCCAAACATGCAAAGATTTGACACTCAAAGACCTCACCCATGCTGTTTCCACCTAGTGGCCACTTTGAGCAGCACTATGCATGTCTATCTCTTACAGTCTAGTTCAGGGGTCTGCAACCTTTAAGACATAAAGAGCCACTTGGACCCGTTTCCGAGAGGGAAAAAAAGACTGGGAGCCGCAAAACCATTGCAACATTTAAAACAAATCCGACACTGCATATATTGCAAAAAACGCTCTGGTCATGAAGGGGGTTTAAGGGCCCAGTAAGCAAAGGGTTAATCAGGGCCACAGTGTATCGTCATAATCACAATCATAGCCTTAGGTCAGTGGTGGGCAACCTTTTTTTTCGACTGAGCCAAATCTCGCCAAAACCACGATTGAAATTTATTTTGAGAGAAACATTTTTAAAACTGAAAATACATCCCCCATATAGTAATTCATCCCCCATAGTAATTCATCCCCCATAGTAATTCATCCCCCATAGTAATTCATCCCCCATATAGTAATTCATCCCCCCATATAGTAATTCATCCCCCATAGTAATTCATCCCCCATAGTAATTCATCCCCCCTATAGTAATTCATCCCCCCATAGTAATTCATCCCCCGTAGTAATTCATCCCCCATAGTAATTCATCCCCCCTAATAGTAATTCATCCCCCCTATAGTAATTCATCCCCCATAGTAATTCATTCCCCATAGTAATTCATTGTGTGAATTCACTTATCCCCCTTTGCTCCGCGCGTCATCCTCACGCTGGGTCATCCCATAGTAATTCATCCCGCCGTTCATATAGTAATCTCATCAGGTAATTCATCCCCGGACTGTGAGAGGAGATCCCCCCTATAGTTCGTCACGCTGCCCCCCTAACATTCCCCATATTGTGGCTGCCCCGTTCCTCTCGCTACATCCTGACAGCCGGACTGTGTTTGCCAGCGCCTACATCCGGGCGCCCGCCTACACACAGAAGATCTGCATTAAAAGAGCCGCGGCTTGCCGACCCTATTGCCTGTCACCTGGTGGGCAGTGTGCTCCGGAGCCGCAGGAAAGGTGAAAAAAGAGCCGCATGCGGCTCCGGAGCCGCAGGTTGCCGACACCCGGTCTAGTTAGACTATGTTCAAATATAATGCACTGCCCCAATATCACAGAGCAAAATTGTTGTATTTACTTACTTGCAATAGTGTGGCAGCTGCTCCACCAATTAGCAATAACGGGGATTCGGCCATCTGAGCATTTTTAATGGCGGTTACGGTATTGGTTAACCCTGGACCAGCTGTCACTGCAGCCACACCGACAGTACCTGCATCACAAAAAACTGTTATAAAAGGAAATCACAAAATGCTGAAATCCACTGACACTTTGGAAGAAACATTTCATAGGCATCCTATGCTAATGTATACCATACAAAAATACTTACGCTTTGATAAATAGGAGAAAAAAAACCCTAAAAAAAATGAAAAAATAAATATGGTTGCTGCTGTTATGTTGTGCGATAGCCCTTCTGATAATCCAGTGTGGGAACCCCATATACCTACGGGAAACAGTGCTACCTTCCTTTCTTCAAGGTGTAATGCAAAACTGTACAATATAATATATCAAAACGTATAAAGAAAGCCCACTCAATAGTGTCCGTGCTGACAGTTCCAAATAACACACAATAGTGCTTCAAAGAACAGTGCTCCCAAAATGTTTTTCCTCCAAGAAAGAAGACAGACCACGTGGATTTTACACCACACTCACCAGATGGTTTTGACCCCTTGAGTTTGCAAGTGAGTCCTCAGGACGTCGATTTTTGATGTCGAAATGCATAGGTCAATACTACCAGCTGACATCACATCTGGAATTGGAAATGCATGGCGGCCATCTTTAATGAGGGAGCGTTTCTGATTTTACAAGGATAGTGCATGCTTTTACTAATATAAGTGCAATACACGTCATTTTTAACTACCTGCTGACCGCAGATAGCCGAATGACGGCTGCACTGCGGCCGGCCAGTTCTGAGTGGACGTCATATGACGTCCTCCCAGAACGCGCTCTCCTGCGCGCCCCAGGGGGCGCGCACCCGGCGATCTCCGTGAGCGCTGTGTCCTACAGACACAGCTGATCACGTGATGTGGTAAAAGGCCAATCACAGCGGCCTTTTACCACGTGATCAGCGGTGTCCAATGACACGCTGATCAGAGGGAAATGCAAGTGCCGGTTCTCGGCTGCACTTTCCTCACGCTGTCAGATCGTGAGGAAAGTACTGCCGAGAACCGGCAGTTGTCAGAGCGGGGATCGGCACCGATCATCAGGGCACTGATGATCAGTGCCCTGATGATCGGTGCCCAGCAGTGCCACCCGCAAGTTCCGCCCACCTGTGTCCAGCAGTGCGCCCACTAGCTCCGCCCACCCTGTGCCCAGCAGTGCACACCCACCTGTGCCACTCTGCAGTGTCACACACCTGTGCCCAGAAGTGCCACCCACCTGTGCCCAGCAGTGCCATCCACCTGTGCCCACCCACCTGTGCCCACCAGTGCCACCCACTTGTGCCCACCCACCAGTGCTGCCCACCAGGGCCACCCACCAGTGCAGCCCAGCAGTGCTGCCAGTCAGTGCCACCAGTCAGTGCCCAGGGGTTGTGCCAGTCAGTGCCGCCAGTCAGTGCCCAGCAGTGATGCCAGTCAGTGCCGTCTATCAGTACCCATCATCAGTGTCACCTATCAGTGCCGCCTATCAGTGCTGCATATTAGTGCCGCCTATCCGTGACACCTCATTAGTGCTGTCTACAGTGCCGCCTATCCGTGCCACCTCATTAGTACTGCCTATCAGTGCCCTTTAGTGCTGCCTATCAGTGCCGCCTATCAGTGCCCATCAGTGCTGCCTCATCAACGCACATCAGTGAAGGAGAAAAAAAATACCTGTTTTGAAAAATTTTATAATAGAAACAAAGAAACTTTTTTTTTTTTCAAATTTTTTGCACTTTTTTTATTTATAGCGCAAAAAGTAAAGTGCCCAGTGGCGATTAAATACCACCAAAAGAAAGCTCTATTTGTGAGAAAAAAATGATCAAAATTTCATATGGGTACAATGTTGCATGACCGCGCAATTGTCAATCAAAGTGCGGCAGCGCTGAAAGCTGAAAATTGGCCTGGTAAATAAGGGGGTATAAGTGCCCGGTAGGCAAGTGGTTAAATAATAAAATGTTATTTTCACTATTTGAGATTTCTCCTCTTCCACTCTGCCTGTACATGGAGGATACATTTTGAACTGCACACAGGGGAGACCTTGTCTTTATTGAAAGAACTGGAGGAAGATTTATGCGGAATACTGAAGCTGTGATATCTTGGATCTGTGTATACATGCCGTTTTGACTCACTTGCTAACACAAGGGGTCAAAACCATATGGTGAGTGTGGAGTATAATCCATGTGGTCTGTCTTTCTTGAAGGAGAAACACTTTGGAGCACCCTTTCTTGAAGCACTATTGTATGTTATTATTTGGACCTGGCACTAAGCATGGATACTATTGAGTGGTCTTTATATGTTTTGATATATTGTTAGGTTTTGCATTACACTTTGAAGGAAGGAAGATAGCGCTGTTACTCGTAGGTATCCTATACTAATGGTTCCCAACAAGGACTGAAACGGCGGGGTAGGAGATCAGGAAAAGTCTACTTGAAAAATCCAAAGCTTGGCCCTAGCACTACACAAAATAAAATCGGATAGAAAAAGTGATTGGTGGTGCCAAGAATTAATAGAGAGTCATAGACAGCTGGTAAAAACTTCAAACCCATCGTTATCCTTGGTGCTCATCTAAAATCGGGATCAAGCATTTCCCTTTTACACCTCATGCACACTGTACTTGCATAAACTTGCAAGGGTATAAATCCCCAAACCCAGCTTGTGCGTGTTCAGAAAATGATGCCTTTGTGCAAGTTCACGTAAATACACAGTATACCAGTGGACAGACATTCATTACCATGGGTGGCTGTGAAATCCAGAATTGGAGGGCTGTTTGAGATAACACAGGAAGTGTGTAGAGGACACTGAACAGCTACGGGAACCTTGCCGAGGAGTGATTTATCCCCTGCACTGGGCTCCTAGCAGCCAACTTGGGTGAGCTTTAGTCTGATTGAACACAGAGCTCCCCCCAGACTTGAGAAGCAGTTTTGGACCCAGAGAGGCCACATATAGGCCCACATTGTGGCAAGTATAAGACAGGTACAGACATGTGCTGGCTAAGGAGAATTCAGCATAGGTAATGGAAACTACCTGGTTTGGTGGAGGACCTTTTTACCCAGCCTGCCACCAGTATTGTTACATCCTTGCACCCTTTTCCACAACCACAGCACCTCATCTGGAAGGCCACTGCAGTTGGGTACCTGATTAAAGGATCTATCCTCAAGCGTATTGTCCCCTGTAAGTTCTACATAATGGCACTTCCTTGTTATGGAATTGTAAAACTGCCTCACTATCCAAATGCCTACTTTGGGATACTAACCGCATTGTTGTGCTGTTTTCTATTCATTGCATATACAAGAAAATTCCTAGATGTTGTCATGCATGGTCCCTTTAAATTACTGTCAATACACCCAAGATGAGCAGTACCAATCCAAACCTGTGCCTCATATCCACTACAGACACTCCACATGACGGCACACGAGCCCATCTGTGCTCACGAACTACAGCACTAGTAATCACGAGCCGCACACTGATATCGGCGCCTTCATATGCCTTTATTATTCCACAAATGGCATGTCTCACCCAGGCACTGACCATTAACATATTTCCCCCTAAAATTTTAATCAAAATGCATTGTTTGAGGGGTAGATGGGCTCTTTGTATGTGGACATACAGTTTGTGGAATATTAACTTCTTGCCGACCGCGCATAGCCGAATGACGGCTTCACTGCGGCCGGCCAGTTCTGAGCGGGACGTCATATGACGTCCTCCCAGAACGCGCTCTCCTGCGCGCCCCCGGGGGCGCGCGCACCCGGCGATCTCCGTGATCGCTGTGTCCTACGGACACAGCTGATCACGTGATGTGGTGAAAGGCCGATCCCACCGGCCTTTTACCACGTGATCAGCGGTGTCCAATGACACGCTGATCAGAGGGAAATGCAAGTGCCGGTTCTCGGCTGCACTTTCCTCACGCTGTCAGATCGTGAGGAAAGTACTGCCGAGAACCGGCAGTTGTCAGAGCGGGGATCGGCACCGATCATCAGGGCACTGATGATCAGTGCCCTGATGATTGGTGCCCAGCAGTGACACCCGCAAGTTCCGCCCAGCAGTGCGCCCACTAGCCCCGCCCCCACCGTTCCCAGCAGTGCCCCCACCTGTGCCCAGCAGTGCCCCCACCTGTGCCCAGCAGTGCACCCACCTGTGCCACTCTGCAGTGCCACCTACCTGTGCCCAGAAGTGCCACCTACATGTGTCCAGCAGTGCCACCCACCTGTGCCCACCAGTGCCACCCACCTGTGCCCACCCACCAGTGCTGCCCACCAGTGCCCACCCACCAGTGCAGCCCAGCAGTGCTGCCAGTCAGTGCCACCAGTCAGTGCCACCAGTCAGTGCCCAGGGGTTGTGCCAGTCAGTGCCGCCAGTCAGTGCCCAGAAGTGATGCCAGTCAGTGCCGTCTATCAGTACCCATCATCAGTGTCACCTATCAGTGCCGCCTATCAGTGCTGCATATCAGTGCCGCCTATCCGTGACCCCTAATTAGTGCTGTCTATCAGTGCCGCCTATCCGTGCCACCTCATTAGTACTGCCTATCAGTGCCCTTTAGTGCTGCCTATCAGTGCCCATCAGTGCCCATCAGTGCCGCCTCATCAACGCAAATCAGTGAAGGAGAAAAAATACCTGTTTGAAAAATTTTATAAAAGAAACAAATAAACTTTTTTTTTTTTTCAATTTTTTGCACTTTTTTTAATTTATAGCGCAAAAAGTAAAGTGCCCAGTGGCGATTAAATACCACCAAAAGAAAGCTCTATTTGTGAGAAAAAAATGATCAAAATTCATATGGGTACAATGTTGCATGACCGCGCGCAATTGTCAATCAAAGTGCGGCAGCGCTGAAAGCTGAAAATTGGCCTGGTAAGGAAGGGGGTATAAGTGCCTGGTAGGCAAGTGGTTAAGGGCAAATCAAGGAGTCAATACCGGTGTGTGGCTGGCATTACTAGTGCCCTTTAACCCCTTCACGCCTAAGGGTAAAAACAAACCTAAATGCCTAAGCACAATTCTGCAACTATGACATGTGTTAGTAAAACCGTACATATCATCACAACTACTTTGTACATCCAGGTGAATTATACCTTGATTTTTTCAGAGAAACTGGGCTTTCATTTGGTGGTAAATGATAATGGATAGTTCCTAATTGTTTTTATTATCAAAGAAAAACTGGCCCAAAATAGTAAAAAAAAAAAAAATTGTTTTTTTATTTAGCTGTGTGTTTCTTGTTACTACAATAACCTACCACCAAAGAACAACCCAAAATAAATTCTCCAGCTCTTGGCGATTCGCAGTGATACTATATATGTGTATGTTATTTGTTGTTTGTACCTGTAGTACAGCCCAGAAACAATAGTGTGCATTTTGTTTTTTTCATTTTGTTTTTTTACCTAAAACACACTGACACTGATACCAATTTTTTTTAAATCCTGACCTTTGACCCTGACCTTTGCCCTTGACTTTTGACCCTGACCTTGACCCAAACACTATAACCCTGGCACTGAACTAGATCAAACCTTGATCTAGGTATTTTTCTTTATTTTTTATTTTATTTTGTAATATTTATTTATCTTTTTTTTTTTTTTACAAACTTTTTTTCCCCTCCATGCCAGGAGTTAGAGAGGTACAATGTATCTCTTCCTCCATTCATAGAGAGAAAGAAAAATACAAGGGGGCCGGGCTGCACAATGACTGATCACTGTGATAGCCAATCAGAGGCTACACAGTAGTCCTGCCCATAAGGAAGTGTTAAAATTCTGTGAAGCCATTGAGCATATTTTCCTTCACTTCCTGTCTTTGTGAAACTATGCAAGAAATGGTTGTTCAGTTGTCACTAAGAAAGGAAGGTATGGACAGCAATAAAAGCATTATTTCAGGTTCTAATCCCACGCTACTCTGCTAAATATGTGTTTTAACTTTGTGACTCTATGGGAGGGATTTTCCCTTGTTTCCCGTTTTTCCTGAAAGCAAGGAGAAATCTCCCCAGTAGGGACACAAATGGCAATAAAGAGCAGCTAACTCTTCTCTAAATATAAGGAAAATGTTTTGGCTTGAGTTGGGCTTAATATAATGGAGAGTAAGTTACCTGAGAGTCTAGCCACTGCATCGGCAGCAAAGACAGCGGTGGCTTCATGCCGTGTGTCCACCACTTTTATTCCCAGCTTTTCACAGGCCACCAGGATGGGTGAGATATGGCCACCAACTAGCGTGAAAACGTATCGCACTCCATGGGATTGTAAGACTTCAGCAACCAACTCTCCTCCATGGCGAGGACTCTGAGTTTCTACCTGCAAAGGGCAGCAAAGAAGACAAGCAATGTAATATGTTGGTTCTGGTCCAATCATTTGTACTACAGGCAGAAGATCAGGCTTTACATTATTTTAGAAAGTAATATTTTATTAGATTTTTCAGATATCTGAAGACCCCAAAATGAGGTTGCAGGCTTGAAAAGACCAAATTTGGAAAAAAGAAAGAAAGAGAGAAAGAGAGAGAGGGAGGGAGGGAGGGGGGAGGGGGGGGGGGGGGGAGAGAGAATCCGTAAGCATAAATTGTCCACATGTACCCTTTGTCACCTGACCTGGGGTCTGTTAGCTGGGGTGACCCCACTTTAATTCCTGTGTTCCAGCCAGGCAACTTGCATGTTCAGAAAAAGAGATCAAGAGCCTACATATTTATTTTAGGACAGATTTAAAGCTGCATTATATTTGCCTTTCCTAGTTACTCCTTTTCCACCTTATTACCATACTAACGACATTTTTAAATAAAATCTATTTTCATTACATAACTTTTTTTTAGACACAGTGATGTCACCACTGGGTCTATGTTCTCCTCTATGCAGTGAGGGCAGTTTATAACTGGTGGGATGAGCCGACAGGCTGCTGTACATGACTTCCAGAAAATATTGCAGCATCCTGCCTCTGTACTCCTCTCAAGAGCCTCCAGTCCTGATTCAAGCGGCCTGGATTGGTGAATGTCAGTTTGGAGGAATGAGCATTCCAAGGCGGGGCTTCAACTGCATGCAGACTACCCTAGATAGCACCCATTGTGATGCTGAGCCAACATGATTGCAAGTACGAAAATCCAATAAATGAGAACGATTGGTGCATACATACCATTAAAAACCAACAGGACAAATTTAAAGAAGTGTGGATTGGTTGGATGTATTACCCTAATGAGATACCAGATGCCTGAATAGCTTTCTACATAACGAGCACCTACCTTAGTCATTGTACTTGCCTGGCCGGGTAGCTCTGATACATCTGTGTGCCTGCCTCCTAGGATTTGCAGACTTGTAGATTTGCTTCCTCCTTTGTTTTTCATTTGCTATTATATTATACTGATTTTTTTTTTCAGTTATGGTCTATACCAGGGGTGTTAAACTGGCAGCCCTCCAGCTGTTCCCAAAATACAAGTCCCATCATGCCGCTGCCTTTGGGAGTCATGCTTGTAACTGTCAGTCTTGCAATGCCTCATGGGACTTGTAGTTTGGCAACAACTGGAGGGCCACCAGTTTGACACCCCTGGTCTATACTGTTTCTCTCATAGGGGAGTTCCTATGGTTTATCGTTCAGTCTGTTCCATATACATCACTATATATTTGTACTGCTTTGGTCGCCACATGCAAACAGGCTGTTAATAGAGCAAACCTCATCTAGGATGTTTCTACGCCTGTAGATGTGGTATTGTGTCTGTTTACTGTAACTGATGCCAGTGCTCCTCCGTTTTCTTGTTATAAATATTTGTAAACTCAATAGCATTTACATATAAAAAAAAAAACCAATCAATGAAAAGGGGCCAGGGACAAGCTGCGGAGGTAGGGCTAGATGATGCTGGAAGTCCTCCATCCAGGAAATAAGGCAGGCTCTATTTGACTTGTTGCAGCTTCCAATGCATTGTGAGAAGGTCACAGCGTGCATTGAAATCAGAGTAATCCATTCCAATACAGGAGAGGAGCCGGTACAACTGTGCAAGGCTGAAGGCTGGAAGTCAGCTTTATTATTCATCATTACAAGCTTGACCTCAATATACCGATTTGGGTCACCAGTCGTCTGTCCTTTCACATGATCTCTACTTGTTCTCTAAAACCTTTCACTTCCTCTTTGCTTTGAACTACTGTGTGTAAGGTTCAGTATATTTCATTAAAGGGCTTTCCAGGTTCAGGGACTCCAAATGTTCCCCAGAGCGGCCAGGTTCACACTGGTGGACTGCATTCTGGTACCATCAGGTTCATTCACAAGTCTGCCGCTCTAGTCCATGAAGTGTGTGGTTGTGGACAGCCAGAAGGCCCCGACCTATTTATAATTGCGGTGATCTGGAGATATTCAACCTCACTGGGAAATGCCCCACCAGCGCTGTAGACCACTCTAGAAATGCTGTAGATGGCCATCTGCTGAGGGTGAGTTTTAGTCCATGTGGGGCACCTATGAGCACTGTGGAGCACTTTAAATTAGCTGAAAACGTGAAGCACCATAATCAAGTTGGAACACCAGCACTGCACTTATTTCACCATTTGGGACTTTAGTTAACCACTTCCAGACCGGACACTTTCATCCCCTAACTGTCCAGGGCAATTTTCAGCTTTCAGCGCTATCACACTTAGAATGACAATTGCGCGGTCATGCAACACTGTACCCAAATGAATTTTTTACCATTTTTTTGAGACAGATAAAGCTTTTTTTTTTTGCTGGTATTTATTCACTGCTGGGATTTTTATTTTTTTTTTGCTATGTAAATGAAAAAGTCCAAAAATTTTGAAAAAAAGTGTTTTTTTAAATAAAATTTTGCAAATAAATATTTCATCATAAATCTTTGCCAAAATTTATTCTGTTATCTTTTTAATAAAAAAAAAACAAATCCAAATTAGTTTATAATCAAAAATGATAATTTTTAAGCATTTTTTTTTACATTTTTATTTTATTTTTTTAGATTATTATTTTTTATTTTTTACATACTGTAACCCTAGCAGTACAGTGTCACCATGGTGACACTGTACTACTTGTGGGGGGTGATGAAGATTTTTTTTTTTTTTTTTTTTTTTTACACTGATTGCTTTTACACCCATATAGGATGTAAACGCAATAATTTCTCTTTCTCTCTGTGTGCATTCTTGCACTCATTGAGAAGTACTGAGTGAGCTGTGATTGGTCACAGCTTGTCACATGGTACAAGGCTGTTGTTAATAGCCTTGTACCATGTGACCTCTGTGATCATTCACAGATTTCACACGTAGTAAGCAATGATGTCACAAGTGACATCTTGCTTACTACTTTGCATGTGATCACTGATTGGCCAATCAGTGATCACATGATCGGGACCTCGTACAGAGGTCCCATCCGACGATCGGTGTTTCACTGTGTCCGGAGGACACAGGGGGAACCGGATCGCGGTGCTGCGCGCTCTGAGGGAGCGCGCACAAGCAGGGTGCGGGGAGGCCGTTTATAAACGGCCACCCGAGCCTGCACTGCCACCGTCCGGCCGTTTATATGCAATGGCCGGTCGGGAAGTGGTTAATAGCGAATTAAGTTGTGAACTACCGTGATGGTGTGATGTTTGATTCATAGATGTTTAGAATTTTGGGAAATACATAAAATACAAGCACATATGATATGTATCATTTTGATGCGCGGTCCAAATATATACAGTTAGGTCCATATATATTTGGGCACAGGCACAATTTTAGTTTTTACAGGTATTTACCAAAACATTATTCCAGCCATAATTAATAATAGTCCATAATGGACTCCTTCGTTATTTCTTCATCAATTACCTGCTTAACTGATGAAGAAATAACGAAGGAGTAGCCCACACCTGGCCAGGAAACAGCTTTTGATTCAACTGTCCAATTACTTTTGGTCCCTTGAAAAAGGGGGGATGGCTACTCTTAAGAGCTGTAATTCCTAATCCCTTCCTCCAATGTGGATGTACATACCCTCAAATTAAACCTGAGAGTGCGCACTTTCAGCCCATATCCATTATAGAACTATAGTTTGAATATGTTTTGGTAAATACCTAAAAAAAAAACTAAAATTGTGCCTGTGTCCAAATATATATGGACCTAACTGCATCTATTATTTTTTATATTGTGGTAGTATTGCACATTTTCCGGACTGCTGCAATAGTTCTAATGTTGGGTTTGTACTAAATTGCATTACATTGCACATCCACAAGCGCATGAGCACTAATTTCTACTACTTTGGCATCATCGCAGGCGTATGCATGGCTTCCATGCATTTTACACATTTTTAGTCGTGATCCTACTGACTTCTATTAGGTCGCGTGTTTTGATGCGACATGCAGGAAACCACACATGCGCATGCACCTGTGCTGCAGCCAGAACTCAGCACACCAGTGTGAAAACAGCCTTACATGTGACAGGTCCTAGAAGACTACAGGGCCATTCACAAAGTGCAGAGCTTCTCATGCATGCGCATTGGGCACCCGGCTGTGAAACCGCAAGCTGGGTGCCCACACTGAAAATGCTGGCGCCAGGGAGAGAAGACGGCCGGTGAAACCAGCGGTGGTGAGGACACCGTGGTACCGAGGGACAGGTAAGTGGCTGTATTTTAAAAGTCAGCAGCTACAGTTTTTGTAGCTGCTGACTTTTATTTATTTTTTTTTTTCAGGTGGCACTCCGCTTTAACTGGTTAATATAGAAGATTGTATTTTTGTCCATGGAAACACTTTGTAAAGCACTGTGGAACGTTCAGCTTCAATCAGTGCCTTGTTTATGCAGATAGAGCGGTGTGCAGGTAGCCTATACTACTCTATAGGGATCCTCATGTGACAGTCATTCAGGGGTGGATGAGTGACACTGACAGCTCACGGTCTGCATCCAGGGCCGCTCACCTACCACTGCTTGCCTGTCACATTATGATGAATGGCTATTGCATCCCCACAGAGTGTCATAGGCTGGCTGCACGCAGTTCCAGCCGGATAATCAAGGTGCTTATTTATGCTGTATTGCCCCCTGTGCCCATGTGCCTCACCTTGTGGAAGAGCTGGTAGATAACTCCCAGGCGATATCCCAGCCACAGCAGTACAAAAGTCACTAAAGTTCCGAGGACAGCACCCGCCGCATGTACGCAGCAACATCCGGAGTCCATTGAAACTTCTTCAAAGTGCACTGCAATACATAAATGATAATATAGCATAATATAATGGATTATTGTAAATATTACAAATATAAAGGAGACTCTAGGACAGAGAAGGGTTAGAAGCTCTATCAGGCATTTATTGCCATTAAGGATGAACTCAGGTGGGTTCAGACATGTCTGAGCTATTCTGCCAGGAAGCTGTCAAAGCCAACCACCAATAGTTACATAGTTAATCAATCAATAGACTCCTT